CAGTGCAGCCTCGTTGGGAGGCAGGCCTGGGACCGGGACATCCAGGTGTCCCCTCCTTACAGGTGAAGTTGAGGGAAGGAGGCTCCATCCATTCCCAGGGAAGACGGTGGTGCTGGAGAAGGACAGCACAAGGAGGGGCTGCCTCTGCCACCAGGTGCTCAGTGTTTTGGAGCCACCTGGGCCCTGCAGTAAGGCCAGGTGGGAATCCAAGGAGAGCCAAGAACAGCAGCAGGTGGATTTTGTGGCATGCTTTGAAAAGGAAAACCTCCTGCTACGGATATGGCAACTGCTAAGGAGCACTCGTCCACCAAAGCACCTGGTCCCATGGCACGCACGGTTCACATGGAGCGGTGGTCCTTCCCACGGGGTAGCTCTCCTCAGCCAGGTACCTCCCGGCAAAGGTACTCCTGAGGGGGTTTAGGAGTGACCAAATGCCAACGGGAAAGATGGGGGTACCTCCAGGGTGTATATCATAGTGCTGTATGCATAGATACATGCGTTTTAAAGAAGATGTCACCAACAGCAGAGGAAGAACTGGGCAAAACCAGAGTAGCTCTCACAAAACCCATCTCCGCATACAGCTCAGCTGTCAGAGAAACCCATCCTGCAGAGACACCCACATTGAGCCCCCATCCCCTGGCACAAACAGCTTTTCCTCTTCTAAAGAGAAATCCCAGGCATGATACAAAGATTTCAAGTGATAGCACGTCAGCCGTGTTCCCAGGTAAATCGTCCTTCGGTTAATGCCACTGCTTCACCTTTACAGCGTGTTTCTAACCGAGATTTCTCTGTCAGCATGTCTTTTCCCACTACAGTAAAGAGCCACGAGCTATTAGAAATCACCTCTTAATTTATCTCCTCGTGAATATTAGTTTATTACATGGACCTACAAGAAGGCCTTGTTGAGCGCATCCGAAGAGAGGCACTGTCCCAAGCCCCACTGTTGAACTTGGGGTATACTTTTACTCGCTAGCAATAGAAAATGAAGATTAATTAATGCATCACCAAGATGTGAATTTGGCTCCCCAGTGCGGAGAATTTAGGGCAAAGCTCACATCTATTTTGGGCTGTTTATAAACTGCTTCCTAGTTACCCAAGTTTGCCCTTTTCATCACTAAGAAGACGTGTTATTATGTAGTTACAATATTTCTAAATATACCCCCTCGTCCCAATATTTAGAAGGGAATGGGGGTGCCTGGAGCCAGCCCAAGAACAGAGCAACGACTGCAAGAAGAACTGTGAGATGGGCAGAAACTGAACTTTTCCTTTTAAAATACCCTAACTTGCACTTTGGAGAAGTTCCTGCACATCCCAGCTAACAGACAACAAGGGGGCAAACGAGGGTTGGAAGGAGGGAGGAGGAAAAATAGGTGGGGAGGCGGGAGTGCAGCAGCTTGGGTCAGCGTGCCGCCGGCCCCGCGCGGATGCTGCCCCGTCCCCGGTCCCGGCAGGCTGCGGGGAGCTGGAGCGGCCGTTGCACCGCGGGGGCCGCGACCCAGTCGCCTTCCAGCTTTGCAAAATGAGGTTTAGCCAC